ATTATATAAAGCATGTGGTTAGAGTAAAACCTTGTAAGAACCATTTGTTAATTGCTACTGTAGTATTGGAAGTTTGTGTAGTTTTTGGAAGATTGTTAGTAGAGGAAGATATTGTTGGAAAGAAGCTAAATTTTTATATTATATAATTATATTTATTCATTTCAGTTAATTATCATAATATTATCTTAGTATTTCTACTAGAAATAAGTCTTGTGATTAATCTGTCTTATAATTCTAAACTTTTATCAACTTAATGTCTCTTATTACCTCTTTAATCCTAAAATCTGCTCTCATTATTTTTGAAAATATTTATAAAGACTGTAATAAGTCAAATGGTAGTACTGTATAGTAAAACCACTTTTTCTCTACCTAAAATCTCAAAAACTGTTGAGCTTAATTGTTTATCAACATATAGTGATACTTATTCTTCAAATCTAATACTAGTATCTTCAAATCATTCTTAAAAAACCCTTAACCTTTTGAAATAAAAAGTTTTCCTAGACAGTACTTGATTTAATCTTTTTAAAACTATTACTAAATAATATTATTTTAGGTTTACTTTTGGTATTAAAAAACTAAACTTACTTTTAGTAAGAATTTTGATTTATTTTCTATATACACCAATCTTATTACCCTTACTGTTTTTAATTTTTTCAACTTCTACTCTATTTATTCTAACTCTTTTTATAAAAACTTAAATTGTTTACTAGACTCTATTTATGTTAATATATTTATTTCTTTTGAAAACAGTGATATTCTGCTCTTTAATTATAATATAATTAGAGTTGCTAGGCTTATAATTCTTTTTTAATATTCTAATAATAACTTTAAACAAATCTTTCTTACTATTTTGTATTTTCTTTGCTCTTTCTTTATCTAAATATAGTTAGCTTTTTTTACCTTCTATAATTATTTCTTAAAAAGACTGGCCTGATTTTTTTTAAGAACTTTCTCAAATAATGTAATCTGTTTTCTTATAAATAAAACATACAATATTCAGATTTTTCATCATCTTTACAAATTTTTTTTGATTATACAATCTTGAACTTTTTTGGTTTTGATATAATCAGTTTCATAACTTCTCTTAAGCTTTATATTGTCTTTGATGAGAACTCTGATCCAGTCTCATATTTTTGTAATAAGCCTTATGTTTAAATTAAACTCTAATTAAACTGGCTGGAATGAAGGTCACTGCATCTCTTGATTTAACTCTAAATTTTCTATATCTATAAGATATCTTGCAAAATTGCATTTATCTTTGATTTATTATTCAACTTCAGTTTTTTGTTTTTTGCTAATTTTTTAGCATTTGCTAATCTTTTTTGAAAATATGTCTTTATTGGATTATTTTTTAATAGATCTCTAATCTCTGTTGTTATATTCTACTTTTTCTTATTCATTACTCTTAACATAAATATTCTTGTAGTTATTATATCTCTTACTTTTGTTATCAAATTCCAATTCTTGTCCCTTAATGCATTATCTAAGTTCTTTTCTGCTTTATAGTATTCATCATATTCAAACTGATTTCTTAGTTTTATCTTTTTTTTATTTTTTCCTGATTAGATTCATCTTTTAATTTTCCCTATCACCTTTTTTATTATCACTTATACTATTGTTTTCAAAGACTTTTCTAATACAATATACTGAAATTCAGTACTTTTATATTTCCAAACCCCAAATTTTCTTTTATTATTTTCTAATACTCTTACTTTCTTTTCTTATTTTTTATATTTTTTTTTCAATAATTACTTCACTATAATTGCTATTTTTTACAGCTTTTTCTTTAGCCTTATTAAATATTTTTACTACCAATCTTTCTATTAACTTTTTCTTAACTTCTGTTTCTAATAAATCTTCTGCTTTACACAATATTGTTAATACTTCTAATAACAACTTATTTAACCCACTTTTCAAACCCTGCTGTGATACTCTTTCTATACTATCCTTTACAACATTATCTGAAAGTAACATTATTAAAAATATCTTTTGTATATTATTTTTATTCTCTATTATATTTTTTTATTTGATCATATTTCAATAACAAAGCTAAACTTGTATTGAGCTAATAGTAAAAACAAAAAAGAAAAAACAAATTTTCATTTATATTTTACTTAAATAACTATTCTTTATATTCTTATACTCAATTAAACTATATTCTCTTATTACTAATAATAACTCTATCATTTAATTAATCATTTACTTAAACTCTCTTATTTATAGTTATTTACCAAACCTTATTGTTATAGATAGGTGATGTGATCTTATAACAAATAACTGCTATATGACTTTATTCATAGTATTTTATTAAATTTAATCAAGTTTTTGTTAAGATATTAGCATTTAAAATTGTTAAAAAAATTTAATAATAACAATTTGCTTAATTTTTACTGACTCAACTTTATATATATAAATAATTTAATAAATGAAATATTTATATATGAACTATTATTATTATACAAATTCAGTAGCTGATTAACTAAGTTAAAAATTATCTTTTTGATTTTTTCAGATTTACTAATTTTCTTCTAGTTCTTATTAGTCAGAAGATATATTTTATAGAATAACAAATTATAATAAAAAATTATAATAATAAAAACATATAAATTTATTATTTTTTACATTGTTTTATAAACAAATTTGTCTGTGAGTTATATTTTTTCAACAAATTATAATTTAAGAGTACTATTCATATGATATCTAAATTTTTTTTATATACAGTACATATAGTTGTATAGTATGTATAGCATATATAATATACATAATAGATGTAGCATTTATAAATTAGTTATATATAACATTGTGCAAAAAATAATTTTTGTTAAAATGTGAAAAATAGTTTTATAATCAAAATTTAAAATAAAGATACTTTAATAATTTGGTTTAGAATATTCTAAAAATTTTTTTGTATACTGTATTGTATATAGTACATTATAGTTTTATAAGAAGGATAAATTAGTTTAATTGATAATTTTAAAAAATTTATTTTTTTTGCACAAGATTTTTCTATTATTTTATTTCTTTACTTACTCTTAGGGTTCTTTGAAATCACAATCTTGACTTTTTTAAAACATCTGATATATATAATCTAGCTGTCACAACAACATTGTTCTAGCAAATCTCAATTTTGATTTTAGATGTAATTATTCAAATTTAGAGATCATTTAAAGCCAGGTAGTTTTTAAATTGATTACTAATAAATTTGTAAAGCAAAACTTATATAACATATATAAATTACTATCTGACTTTAGATGATTTTCAAATTTGAAAATAATCTTTGCAACTTGCATAATTAACTTAATCAATCAAAAAAATTAAAATTAGTTACATTTAATTTATATAAAATAATTAATTAAAAAGTTAATTATATTAAATTATATAATTAATTAAAAAACTACAAGAATTTATAATTTAAAAGTTATATTTATTACAATTGAATTCAATATAAATAATTTAATTTGTAATTAATCAAAAATAAGAAAAATTAACTTTGGATTAGGCATTATATAATTATTTAATATAAATTTATGTTATTATTTTTTTTTTTTTAAGATGACTTCTTGGGTCTTTTGATTTTATTTAATAATGATAAATGTGGTTCAGTAAACTACTACAGGAAGAGCTTACAATTGGCTATATATGTAATTTTTCTATATTACCTATTTAAGGAGTCTGCTCAAAAGTTCTTTACCAATTGCTATACTTAACATCTTTACTTGTGTATTTTACTTTAAATTACTGAATCTGCAAACCTGTTAACTTTACTAGGTTATATCTGATGTTCAGATTATTGTCTTAACCTTAGAACTATTTTATCCTTAAGGTAAACTTTCTAGATTCTTCTATATCTATTTTTACAGCTAACCTAGATATTGCTATAACAGAACTAATACTTGCAGTCAGTGCTTAACCATTAAACTATTATGACTTTGTAGAGTTCACTTAGACTCTAGCATCTATTTTATAGTATAACTTCAGTATTTTAGTATACTTCTGCCTTTTTACTGCCTTTTTACCAAACTTCCAATTCAGATAGCCTATGTAGAACTATGACTAGTCTATCAGTATATTGGGTTGAGCCAATATCCTTTTACTTTAGTTCATTCTGATAGCCTGGTTAATGGCATCTCTGAGACTTCCAATTTAGAGGTTCTTGCCCATCTGACTACTACAACCAGGTATTATGATCTTGGTATCCATTCCTCTAGTCTAGCCTTTACAGTAGAGCTGTTGAAGATCTAGTTACTTATCTATTTGGGTCTTCTCAAATGGACTTTTTGTTATCTAATTTCAACAGATTTACATAGCCACAAGGACTTATCTAGTATTTGCACTGCTCAATTTGTCAGTTTGCATTCCTTTATATAACTTCAACATTGTACAGATGTTATATGATCTGCCAGTTATATTGGTGCAACTACTATTACAGATATTCTAACTTAAATATTAGTAACAGTTACTATAATATGAATATTACATAGTGTTAATATACAGTCAGAAGTACAAAGCAAAGGTTATATTAATTCTACCAATCTGAGTATTAGCACTGTGATAGCTGATGTTTTTAGAGGCACTAAAGGAAACAGTAAAGCTATTCCTAGCAGTAAAAATCATTGTTCTAGGATTATCAGAACAGAAAAAACTATATAAAAATCTGGTATAAAATCTGTTAATAATAAGAATAAATTAAGAGAAGTATTATTAAGAAGAATGAATAATTTGGCAAGTAGGTTGATTAATAGAACTTATAGGATAAGATTGAATAGAACATAACAAAAGTTTGAAGAATTTTATAGTTAAATAAGGGAAATAGCATGTTCAGCAAGTGTAAATATAATAAAAGTTGATGTATTAAACCAAATAGAGTACACATAATTTACTTTGTCTTTTCAACTTTAAGTAAAGCATTCCATTACTTCAGACTTCAAACAAAAAAATTGGCTATTGAATTATTTTTTTTCATATTCAAGTAACTTGCAAAATGGTTTATTGTTATTGGCTCCCATCTTACTTCTAGTTTTACAAACATTCAATCATCCAATTTCCAATTCTCTATATTCTATTTTCTTATTAAGTAGTTTGCAGAATTTTCTTACTTAAAACCTACCTTACTTTATAAATCCATACATCATTTTTTGTATAAAACTTTTATAGAAACCTTACAAGATTCTTCTGTTATAGATATCTTCTTCTATATCCTATTATTCTTACTGCAATCTTGTTATCCACAAATAATATTACTCAAGAATGTTTTAACATGATTATAAATGTCTTTAATATTTACAATACTACTAAACTTTCTAATTAGGCTATCTCTATTATCTTAAATAGTTTTGGTCAATTTCTTGCTACTATATAATTTAAATGCATCCTCCAATCATTATTGATCCATTCATGAATACTGTTTTTATTCATGCTAGTTTTTATACTAGCTTGCTATTTCACTTTACATATTCTTCTTTAACTATCTCATGTTCTTTAATGCTTTTTCTAATAACTGCACATTTTTATCCTAATACTAATAATTCCAATTAGCTATATCTATTATAGTATAGAACTTCATACACTTTATTTGTAATGCCAAAAATGCTTATGCCAAATTTTAAATTCTTTTTGTAAGTAATGCTAATCTTCTTGCTAATAATATGTAGCAAATTTTCACTTTTCTAATTTTTTTTGCATTTTTAGTATTTTCTTCTCTAGTATTTTAACTACATCTTTTTCTGTATCTACAATTAATTCAAAAATTTTTATTCTCTTTGTCAGTTTCTAATTTCTTTTGTCTAATGCTTTCACAAACTTACAACCTTCCAAATCAGCTTTATTATTTTCTTTTTTATTGATAATAGCTTCTTTCTTGACAGATTTCTACTCAAACTTTATTGATATAATTTTTACAATATATTCCTTATAATCTCTATAAATCTATAAAAGGTTATTATTCAAATTAGTGCTTGGCATAATCAAATACTTAGTAAATATTTGACGATTACTGATTTCTAAATCAAGTAATGCATAATCTCGTTCTAATAAGCTTTGCATATCAAAATTGATATAAGCTTATTGTACTTTTGACCCTTAACTTATAGCAAGAATAGATTTTTTAGATCCACAGATTTGAATTTTTATATTGCATCAGTTATAAAAAATTTAAAAGCTTAGAACATTTTTATTATAAAACATTAGATTCAGCATTAGAATGTTAAGCTTAGACATTATTATAGAACACTAGATCTGACATTCAAATGTTAACATTCAAATGTTCTAGTTAAAAATAATATACTTTGTGTTTATTCTGTCTATTGTTTTTAACTCTTTTTTCATCTTTTCTACAAGAATAGTTTAGGTTCTTTGTTTAATGAATGGCTTCTTAGGATGCAGTACAGTAATTTCAGCCTTGGCTCTTTATTGGTTGGAAAGTATAATATTCACTTTTTTTTTTTTGTCACTTCATTGAATTCTTCTGTTGGTATACTATTTGAATTTAATTTTCAAGCTCTTTTCTTTTTTATTTCTTGACAGGTTTAGGTAAATATCTATTACAAGCTATTCCATCTTTTCTACAAGAATAGTTTAGGTTTTTTGTTTAATAAATGGCTTTTTGGGATGCAGTACAGTAATTTCAGCCTTGGCTCTTCGTTGGTTGAAAAGTATGACATTCACTTTTTTTTTTTGTTGCTTTATTGAATTCTTCTGTTGGTATGCTATTTGAATTTAATTTTCAAACCCTTTTCTTTCTTATTTCTTGACAGGGTCAGGTAAATATCTATCCTAGGCTATTCCATCTTTTCTACAAGAATAGTTTAGATTCTTTGTATAATGAATGGCTTATTAGGATGCAGTATAGTAATTTCAGCCTTGGCTCTTCATTGGTTGGAAAGTATGATATTCACTTTTTTTTTTGTCACTTCATTGAATTCTTCTGTTGGTATGCTATTTGAATTTAATTTTTAAGCCCTTTTCTTTCTTATTTC